AAAAAAAAAAGAGAAAGAAGACAGCAGGGTGAAAGGAGGCCAGGAAGGTGAAGGGAAGACGAAGGTTGGTGAGGGAAAGAGAAGCCGGCAGCCATAGCTGACCGAAGGGTTGACCGGGAGAGTTGACCAGGGGTTGACCGGGAGTTGACCGGGAGTTGACCGGGAGTTGACCGGGAGTTGACCGCAGCGTTGACCGGCGTTGACCAATGCGTTGACCAAGACTTTGACCAAGCTGGAGCTGGTAAAATCTCGCCAAGCCTTCAGCCTATCCCTCGCCCTATGGATGTGCACACACCCTGTGGTACTTGCTGAGTCCAGTCTGTCTGTCTCTTCTTTCTGCATTGAGTCTTTTCTGTCTAGGTGATAGTACTCTGTGGATGAAGGATAGGGCCTTGTTGACCAAACCCACATGGGCTGAGTAGGGCTAAAGACTGTGTCTGACGACTCGACTGTCCCGGAGCCTTAACCCTCCCAAGGACCAGTACTGACCGGCGGGCTGCTCGGTGTGGCACGGTAGGCCCAAAATCCGAGCTGTGGGCTACACAACAGGCCGTCTAAGTGTTGAGAGACCTGCTGATCGCGTCGTCCTGTCTGCGACGTTAAACAATTTCTGAGGAGTTACGAGGGATCTCCTTAAATGCCTCTTGATCAGCAATAGGTCTAGTAGTGACAGCCATAGTGTAGGTCTAGGCTAGAAACCCTAGTTGGCAGGATCCCAGTCCGGATTCAGTGAGTCTTTAGATTGAGTCAATAGGTTTGTCAGTCAGGGGTTAGAGTCTACATGGTGAGGTTTGGAACCGTAATCCGGTTGTGCACTTGTCACCATGGTTGAGACCCGTAGTGGGACGGGCACTAGCCCCTACACCCAGGAGCAACAAGAAAAGATGGTCGCCTTAGTGAGAGAGAACAAAGAGAAGAAGGAGCTCTTGAAGCAGGCGAAGCTGAAAGCTATCGCAGAGGAGCAGGCGGCAAAGATGAAGAAACTGGAGGAGGAGATGAAGAGAGTTCAGCAGGAGGAGGAAGAGAGGAGGAAGGCTGTCGAAGAGGAAGCAGCAACAGAAGAAGAAGAAAAAGAGAAAAAATGTATTGAAAGCAGAGAGGAGAGTAGTGGCACGAAGAAGGATGAAGACGCAGAGATGGAGAAGAAGATTAGCGAGTGGGTAACTAACTTATCGTTGGGGGAAGATGAGGAGGCGGAGTTCTACGTGCCCCAGGACGAGAGGGATGTGTTAGCCCAGGAGCTAGCAGCAATGGAGGACCCCCTGGAAAGACAAGAAAGAGAGGAGGAGAAAAAGTTGGAGTGGAAATTGAGAATGAAGAGGGAAAAGAAGAGAAGGAGGGATGAAGTTAATAGGTTGACCGCAGAGGTGGCGAAGGTGAAAGATTGTAGGCAGGAGGTGCAGGCTCAGGCAGACGCCTCGGCCAAAATGGATAAGGTGTTGGGGTACTTGGAGGTGTTGAGCGCAGCTTGGATGGAGGAGCGCCAGGCCAATAGAGCTCAAGAGGTAGCCCTGAAGGCCATGCGGTCCGGCTTTCGGAATTTTGCGCGCGAGATGGTTACCCACGTTGGAGGGGAAGTCAGGCGGTTGAGAGACAACGTGGGGAAGTTCTGCGAGGGTGCCATTGAGGGCGCCAAAGTAGTAGTCGCTGTTGAGGGCGAGGCCAGATCCCACAAGGAACCAGTCAAACTCAATTTTCTCGATGCCTATGGCGGGAAATCTGATGAGAACTTCGATAACTAGGAGGCTAACGTAAACAGTTACGTTTACTTACAGCACATCGTACAGGACGATCAGGTCCTGGTTGCCTTCCAGGCCCTCAAGGACGAAGCGGCTAGCTTTGCTAGGTCCCTCTCGCGCGCGGCCGGTTGTGAAAACAACATGGTCGCCTATTCCAAGGTCACCCCCCTCCCTCAATTCTTCAAGCTCCTTAGGGAGCGATTCGCTGATCTTCGCAGAGGCGTTAGAGCCTTTGACAAGCTCCAAACCATCCACTCACGGCAGTGGAGGAGTGCCAAGGCCCTCAAGGACATGATGGACGACCTGGTGGCCGTCCCGGACCATGGAGTGACTGAGTCCCAGTTGCTCCAGTTATTTTATAGTGCCATCCCAGAGCCCCTGCGTGGGCACTTCTTTGACAAGTCCCCACAGCCCACCATGACGTACGATGCGCTCAGTAGAGAGGTGGTGTTGTTCGAGGCCAAGTCCGTGCCAGTTTCCACTTTCTGGCATAAGGACTTAGACAAGGGCAAAAAGTGGAAAGGTCGTACCATCTCTGGCCAAGTCAGGGCCAAGGATCACATGATCCTTACCTTAGAGGAGGGTGGTACAGATGAGGTCCCATATAGTCAGATCGAGTGGCGCCTTGATGAGGAGGACAGTAGCGTGGGGCAGGGGAGGTCCTACGCTGTTGTCGCGGCTGGAGGGAGGCCGCAAGGTAGAGGAGGAGGCCAGGGCCAAAGGGGCCAGGCCATGGGAGGCCGAGGACCGGGCGCACAGGGGGTTGGTAGACAAGGGAACCGCCAAGTGGGAGGTAGGGGTCAAGGTCCCCCGCCAAATCGCCAGGGTTCTTGTCGGTCCCCACATCGACGAGGTGGAAGGTCACCTCAAGGAGGGTGGCACCCAGGTTTGCCACAGGGCAGGCCTTGGGAAGACTTGGGCTTGGACCAGCGCGTATGGCAGGAATGCGTGAACTTGGGTTAGTGCGTGTTTTGTGGTGACCCGACCCGCGTAATTAAATTTTGTCCGCAGTACAGACAGGCCCGATGGGCTGCTCAGCAGTCAAAAGGCAGCTGCCAGTAGGGGTTGCAACTGCCCCTACTTTAAGGGCATGTGGGGAAGTGCGCGCGCGTGAACAGGATACTCCCAAACCACATGAGCCTATGGCAGAGGTTGTAGGCCCGTGCCTAGCTAGCTGTCTAGAGATTGCTTGTGTTAGCGTCTCTCTAGGCACGTCCCTCACAGGTGTGGCAGAAGAGTTGAAGGAGAGGATGGTCCGTCCTACACAATAGAGATCCCAGCACACCTCCACACTTACCCAGTATTCCATGCCTCAAAGTTGTTGCCATGTGTCACAAGTCAACAGTTCCCTTCAAGAAGATCCATGATCCCGCCGGATATGGATGGAAGATATGACATTGACGGCATTGTAGATGAAGATGGGTTCATGACAGGAGGTAGAGGTCGTCCACAGAAACAGTATAAGGTCCGGTTTGCTTATCAGGAACCGGAAGACAACCGCTGGTTTCCTAGAACAGAACTTCTAGAAACAGCTCCCGACATAGTCAGAGCCTATGAGCGTGATAAGAAGGGTAAAGGTCCTGCCTTGGACTGAAATATTCTCGGAGGACCTCGAATTTAGGACGGTGGGAGTGAAACGGTTTTCACCTCTTTGCAGTAGCAGATGCAGATCCCAAGGTTCGATCCCTAGACCTTGCCCTACCTGTGTACAGTACCCGTGTAGACCTATAACGAGCGTGAGGCTGAGGGTGAGCCGAGGGAGAGGACAGAGAGGGAGAGAGGGAGAGCTCACACACACACTCACTCACTCGACATGACTGACTCGGACTCAGGATCGGACGCAGACACAGTGGCAAGGCACAAAGTCGAAGTCTTGGATTTCGAATGCCGAAACAGCAAGTCACACTAAGTACGAGTACAGCAGCAGGGAACTGGTACGAGACTGGTCCCGTACCGTACGGGGAGCCGGTATAAGTACCGGTGACACGTACGGTACCAGGGGCATTTCTGCAAAGGCCCCCGAGGGCAGAACTGAAAAATGCAGTATTTGAAAGTGGCGCCTGAATTGCAGTATGGCGCCAGTTGTCCGAAATCCGACGGTACCAAAGGAGGAGTTTGGAAAAAGGGCGCCAGGCCGAAAACGGGATGCAGCTGAAACAGCAAAAAGATAGACCAGGGATCGAGCCCTGGC